ATTGTGTCAATTTACCAACTAGCCGTAAAAAAACCGTAAAAAAGCCGTAAAAAAACCTATAACTTAAAGTTCGTTTTCTTTGGTAGAGGGAGGAGGAAGGGGGGGTGGCACGCACACCGAACAACCACGCCTAAAATTGCCTCTGCTCAAGTACCATGTGTAACAGCGCATTCTCTTTATTACTATTCGGAACTATTGAATTAGTTGATTTACGATTAAAGTTTTTCAAAGCACTTAAGATCATTAAGTGGTGATTCGTGTGAGATGTTGTAAACCACAAAATTGTGTTATATATAAAACAAGAATTTTTTATATTTCATATTTCCCGTTAACCCGGAAATTACCGTAATTTCCCGGGAAAAAATTGAAATCAAAGAAATACCTGTGTATATATTTATTATATTAGGATAATAACTTAGTCAAAATAAAAATATATTAATGTCCACCAAAATGTATATTGATTGTGGAGGTTATAATTATTAAATTATCTTGAAAAAAAAAGGTTGCTATGGGCGTTGTTAGGAAATAAAGTCTCGTTAACTGTTCCTAAGATGAATTAGACTAATTTATGTACAAATTTGACAAATGTAAGTACTCTAATTTTGTACCACAATGATTGAAATAAAAGCAATGTTCAAAGTAGAGGAAAAAAGAAGCGGGGTGGTATTTGATAAATTAAAAATACCATCCCACCTAATCATAGTTATATATAGATTTTACAAAAAAGTGGCGGGATTGTTTATACTTTATAAAAAGGTGACGGGATGACATTCCGCCGCATCCTGCCTTACAACGAGCACCGAATAAAAGAAAATCACTTTTTATAAAATCTCGAAAAAAATTTTAAAATACGTTTTAAATTGGGGTTGACCACCTTAATAGGTTTTCTCATATTTGTATTACGCAAACGCATTTCTCACATTTATTTTTACTCAATCACATTTATATAACAATTTTTTTGTGTGTGTAGTTTATTTCGCCATTAAAAAATGTTTACATCGCATATACATTTATCGAAATTATTGGCTGGAGCAAGAAGAACAATCAATAATTATGCTGTTTCAGACCAATACTGTTTGTATTTATTTTTAAGTAGTGTATATCAGCTTTATTTTACTTAAGCTAAAAAAATTTTGTTTTGGAGAACAAGAGGATATAGATGCTTCAACAGGTCAGGATGGTAAGATAATTAAGCAAGAATGCATTTAAGATATTTTTATTCATTTATATGTATATTATATCACATATATACTTTTATTCATTTATACGTAAGACATATAAATCCTGTGTAGAAGTAGTAAATATCACATCTTATTTCAGGTACGATTGCAAGCTGTTAACTCAAAACACGCTGTAATGCTGTAACAAAGCAATTTTATGTCTCAAACAGACATAAGATTGCTTTTTTATTTCTCAAACAGACATAAGATTGCTTTTTTATTTCTCAAACAGACATAAAATTGCTTTTTTATGTCTTAAACAGACATAAGATTGCTTTTTTATTTCTCAAACAGACATAAGATTGCTTTTTTATGTCTTAAACAGACATAAGATTGCTTTTTTATTTCTCAAACAGACATAAGATTGCTTTTTTATGTCTTAAACAGACATAAGATTGCTTTTTTATTTCTCAAACAGACATAAGATTGCTTTTTTATGTCTTAAACAGACATAAGATTGCTTTTTTATTTCTCAAACAGACATAAGATTGCTTTTTTATGTCTTAAACAGACATAAGATTGCTTTTTTAATAAGGACTAGTCTTTATTAAAAAAGCTTTCTATTAAAAAACATGTTTATTTATTTATAGTAAATATAACTAATATAACTTCTAATGAAGATTTGTCTTTATTAAAAAGTTTTTTTTATTAAAAAACATATTTATTGTAAATATAGCTTAAGAAGTAGAATAAAATGATAAAAACAAATTTTCTCTAAATTTTTAGTTTTTAGCCTACAAATCATTTACTGAAAGACAAGTCATTAAAAAAGATATTTTTTTATTATCATGTTTTCTATTTTATATATTTTATATCATATTTAATTATTTAATATCATTTTTTATCATTTTATATTTTACATAATTTTATATTCATTTTATATATTTTATATCATATTAAAATATTTTATATCATATTTTATTATTTATTAATTTTATCTTATTTTATATTTGATAGCTTTGTGTAAATTATTTATTAATTTATTATTTTTAGAATTAGGTTCAACTATTGAAAAATTTACGAATTACTACCATAAAATATGACCACACGGGCATTACTTAAAATAGGTTTACTGAAATCATTATGTATAAAGTTTAAAAGTCCAAACATGCCATTAACAATTCCTCGGAGACATTCAAATTGGACCAAGTAATTGAAAAGAATACCTTTGTTATAGGCTGAACAACGGCGTCAAACAAAAATATTTTGTAAAAGATATTTTAAATTTTAATTAATGAATAAAAATTTAAATGCTGAGTTTTGATGTTTGCGTTAATAAAACTATTTCGAGTATTATTTGAAAAAAAAACTAACTTTTTAAATGTTGCCAAAATACGAAAAATTGGGAAACATTTCCTATTAATACATATGTTATACATATTTCATGTCTTGCTTACAGGCTTAATAAGTTGCTGATTAAACAATGCATCTTTCTGATTTCACTATGATATATTTGAATCCAGATATTGAGGAAAGACGCCTATGATGGCATAGCGCCTATGATGGCATACCGGTCAAATTTTCTTAAATATTGGTTATGGCAAAAAAGTGATTAGACCAATATGTGTATACTGACTTTACATTAGTTTTAGTAAAAATACGTCCCTTATGCACAAATATTGCTTTTATAATCAACAAAAATTGATTTTTGGATGTGCTCTTGTATTTTTAATCCCTTTAAATATTTAAGATTGTGATTATATTAATAACTGTGCAAAAATGAATTTTTTTTGCACAGATTTTTTGCACAAAAAAAGGGCTAATATATATATATATATATATATATATTATTATATATATATATATATATATATATATATATATATATATATATATATTTGCAATCAAAGTATCCCCTACAAATGTCTAAAATTTTAAATTATTTTGATTATCAGATAACGATATTTTAAGAATGAAACAAAAAATAACCACAAATTATACATTAAAACTAAAAAACAAATTAAAAAAATTTAATAAAATAATTAATTAGCTTTATAAATTGGGTAGTTTTAGTTATATTTTTTTTATTAACAAACATTTTCATTATAACTCTTAGTTTTTTTGTTTACTCAGTGCCCCTATTATGCACTTTTTATTAATGTTTTTTTGTTGTTTTTTTTTACAAAATCCAAGTTATATGGTATACCAAGCTCAATAGAGATTCCACTTACTTCATCAGTTTAACTGAAAATGAAAATAACTTGTAAGTTTAATTATTCATCTTTTCAACTTTTCAAGATTTGCTTTCCAGTTTTGATATCCAGGTTTCATGTGATTCTTTTTTTTTAGATATTATCATATGTTTATCTGCAATCAAAATTAATTGAAATTTTTAAGACAGCTGCCGGGTTATCATATCTTTATCTAATAATCAAAATAATTTTAAATTTTTAGGAGATAGTTGTAGCGGTATTATGGGTTTATCTGTAACCAAAATAATTTGAAATTTTTAAGACAGTTGTTGAGGGTATCATATCTTTATCTAATAATCAGAGTAATTTGATATTTTTTGAAAGATATAGTTGTAGGGGGGTATCATGACAAAGTTAAAGCAGCAAAGATACTAAATTTTCAAAAATGTAGATTTTATAGATCTACTTTTTTGCGCCCCGAGTGAGTATTTGTTCTTTTTTAAATTTTTGGAAAATTTTTTGGGTCAAAATAAAAATATTCATTTAACTGTTTCAACTTCTGTGCAATTATCTAAAAATGATAGATTTATTGTTATGGTTAGCTACAAATTTATGATACGTAATCGGCAAAATGTAATAATATTGTTAGCTTCATACCCTTTCAGAAAATCTTGTATCAAACACGCATCCGGTATTAGAACGCAAAACTGCGTACTTGATACCAAGTGTGTCTGTAGTGTGCCTATATCTTAATAAAATGGGTAAGACAAAAAATGTTTAAAACTTGAGTCATATTTTGAAAGCAATTTAATTTTTTTCATCAATTATAATAAAAATAAATAAAATTACTTAAACATAATTAAATTTTTATTCAAAAACAAACAAAAACGTGCCAATAGGTAAAATAAACATTAAGAAATATATATTTTTTTTAATTAAAAGATTGCTTGTCCAACCCAAAAAACCCTCGTCATTGTATTTATACTACACTGTGCCTATCCCTAGATAAGCAGTCAATATGTATATACACTACGGTGGATATCCTTCAAAAGTCAGCCAACGTAAATACTGCGTTAGTACTCCACTGCGCTAGCTTAATTTTAAAGTTAAAAACCAATAATAATTAAATCTAATTTTTTTAAACTCCCTTTAAATTCGATTATCTTTACCTTTTTTTAATTAAACGTGCGAATAGACAATAAATATAATCTATTCGCACGTGAAAAACGTGCGAATAAACGCTCCGTAATAAAATTGCTATGTTTAAAGTTCATTTTTTCTCTTCTATACATTAAAACCAACACCAAAAAAGGTAAAATATAAAATTAAACAATACTGTAAAAAAGAGTTGCTCATAAATATCTAAAGGTTAACTAGGTTTCCTCTACCACTGAGTTGTTTATTTATGTTACTAGAAATATTTTTATATTATAAAACTCTATAAAATTTATTCAAAATAATAAACTGATTTGATGTTATGTTTATTGAAATATTGTTTAGTATTTAATTTTAATTTTAGTTAATAAAAAAAACTTTTGAAATCTACGATAAATTTTCTTATTAAAAACTAAACTTTAGAAAACGACTTTATTTTTATTTTTGTTATTTTTACTCCTTTGGTTTCTTTTTAAAACAAATTATTTTTGTTTATTTAGAAAAAATGGTTTTAATTAACAAAAATATATTTTATCTATTCTTAAAAGTATGGTTTTATGTCGTCAATTATTTTCTAAGTGCTAGAAAAGTAAAAAAATCTGGTACTGCTGCTGTCTACAAAATTTGTTTTCGCAAAGAAGTATCACGGGAGTTACCATCTGTCAGTGACTTTTATGGTCTGTTTGAAGGATATTTCCATTCAAGCATCATTCTTTCTGATAGCATTTCATTATACACTATTACTGAAAGTACAGCAGTATTTGTTGACTGTGGCGCTTTGGATGTTTTTTGTTCAAAGTATGGTGCATTTGTTTACAATACACAATTAGTGCATGCTAAGAGGTTTATTGTTCTTTCTACAAAATCTTTTCACAAAATTGCAGCAGAAATATCTTTACCTAAAGTTCCTATTGTTCACCTGGCCAATCATGGTCGCTGTGGTTCTACTTTATTGGCACAGATATTTGAAAACATCCCAAATGCTTTATCTATATCTGAAACCTATAGCTTCTCAGATTTGGCTGAATTTTCACGCAAAGGTCAAGTTGATTTTCATACTCTAAAACAACTATGTTTCAGTACATTGATGTGTACTTTTAAACATGCCAACTCTCGACAGTCTCAGTTAATTTTTTTAAAATGCCAAAATGTAGCTGTGTATATCACTGAGTTAATGAGTATTTGTGCTCCAAGTATTAAGAGTATATACATGTATAGAAACCCAATATCATTTGTTAGATCTTGCGAAAAGCTGTATGCTATTAGTAACCGGAAACATGTGCCTGTATTAAGAACTAAAATATATAGTGGCATTGGTAAGCATTCAATTTTACAAAGTTTTCCTACTTATTCTGACTCGTTTCTAGAAAGTTTAACCGTTTTTTCAAGCTTTGGCTTTAACTGGATAACAGGTGCAGCAGCATTTAAAAAATTAAGGAACAAGATTGAAATAAAATCAATATCGTACGAAGATTTACTAACAAATGCAGATAATATTGTTTTGAAGCTCTTCGATTATGCTGGTATTCCAAAGGATGTTTTGCCAGATATAAGTTCTATTTTAAAAAATGATTCTCAGGTTGGCACAGCATTTTCTAGTCGCAATATAAGTAAAAAATTTTTACAAAAGGCTTGCACCCCTATAACAGAAGAGTTAAAAAAAGAAGTCAATAGTCTATGCAGTGATTTTGATGTACCTTATTTTTGGAATTTTGATGCACTTCCTGATAAGTTGTGAGTTTGAGTTACTATTAACTTTTAAGGTTTTTTTTTTTTAATTATAAAAGTAAAAAACATTACTATTAAAAAAAAATTTAAATAAAAAATGTTTTGGATTTGTAATTTTTTGTTATTGTTGCTGTTTTTTACTTATTTTGTAGCTTTTGTATTTTATATTATTTTTTTGTTAATTTTCAAAAGCAATAAACCATATATATACTAGAATAGATTTATATTTTTTTGGTTTACTCAAAACTGTTTGTCTATAGTTAGGATTTGGGGATCTTTAGGCAAATTTGTGAGCAAAACGTTATAGGAATGATTCCTATAAGGTTTTGTTCACAAATTTGCCTCCAGATCCCCAAATTCTAATTATCTTAATCTAGATAGCTAGAGAAAAGGGAGTCATAACCTTCCCCCTCCCCTTCTTAAAAAAAATGTGATTTTTAAGTTATAGTCGGTTATTTGACAATTTTAGTCGGCTAGTCAGGTATCAGGGCCGACGACACGGATTTCGAAGTGGAGGGGGCACAATCGTCAATTCTTATAAGAAGTCTTCTATATCTAGAATTTAAAAAAAAAAAAGACAAAAAAAGTGGGGAGCCTGTGCTACCTGGCCCCCCAGTATCGTGGGTCCTGGGTGTTTAGCACAATTCAGTCGGGTGATTTTAGTTTTTGGGATCTCTTTTTTTACCCACCATCATTTTATTCGTAGAATCGAAAGTCATAATGAACATCTTCAACCCAAAAGAGCTACAATTAGAGAAAAGAAACATGAAAAATACAGGGATCAATACAGTTCTTATTTTGGGCTTGTACGTGGTAAGGCCGACGACACCGGGGGGCCAGGGGGGCACATACCCTCCCTCCTACTTTTTTCTAAAGAAACGTTTTTTTAAGAAAAATCTTGATAAATATCTTGATAAACTTTTTTCACAAATTGATAATTGTGCCCCACACTTCAAAAACCCGTGTCGTCGGCCCTGCGTGGAGTACAAGAAAGTAATTATAATTTGGAGAGACTTATAAAGTTACTTAAGCTGAATGAGCTAAAATACAGAGCAGCAGCTGACCTGAAGCTTATTAATTGTTTACTGGGTATTTCTGTAAGTTAAACATTATTTTACTTAATTGCATGAAATTTATAAAAAGTGATTGTTTTTTATTATTTTATCAATATTAAACTTAATATTTTATATAGTCTTTTTTAATACTAACACTTAAACGCACACGGAGGAAAGTATGCTTGCTGTTATTGTGAACGACAAAAAGATGACAAAAATGGAAAGTTGAGGAGTTTTTAAAGTTTGACTAGTTGACATCAGAAAATTATTGAAGATGGTGAACTTTATAAGCACATGAAAAACTATAAAAGTGTTGTTCGACCATGCCTAATTGAGGAGTCTGGAGAATCTCTTGTTATTGATATAGTTCTGCCTACTGAATTACATTCGTTTGATCATATTGTGGCAGAAATAAAAAATGTTCTGATGGCAGAAGACTGAACTAAAAAGTTCTTAATTAGTAAAACTGTAACAAGGCACGATTACAATCAGGGGTGTGGAGTCGTAAAAAAAAAGTAGCGACTGCGACTCCGACTCCAGTTGTTGAAATTTTTTGAGTACAACTCCGACTCCGACTCCAACTCCGACTCCGACTCCAACTCCAAAGCAAAATTTTTCAAAAATTCTTTGAATTCTTTAAAAAATATTGCGCGATAAGTTGAAATTTTTTTTTTTGACAAATTTATGCAACGTTCTTTGAAGTTTAGTATGAACATAAGGTTAATTGAATGTTTTGTACATACACGTGCAATACCAAGAAATATTACTATCGAAGTCGGAGTCGCGATATTTTTTAGTGACTCCGACTCCGACTCCGCTAAAATTGTCGCAAATCCGCAACTCTGACTCCGACTCCGACTCCACAGCCCTGGTTACAATGGAGGAGGATTTTTTTTTTTTTTTGCCGTTTAATAATATATACAGTTTTGAAGCATATAAATAAAAATAAATATTGACGGGGCAAGAACAAGACTTATTTAGCCTTATCACCGAACCCCATTTTCACGTATTTTCGAAAAACAGTAATATTTAAATATATATAGTTAACAAACTATTTATTAAAAAAAATATAAAAGTAAAATAGATAACAATTCGTTGTCATTTAAAGAAAAATTTAAAGAAAGAGTAAGATCAAGCGAATAAGAAAAAATAAGATATTATCATTTGCTTAGAAATTTAAACTAAGATTTAAAAGTAAACAGTAAATGGATTTATATTTATCATAGAAATAACATGAATAATTTAGTATACTTTATAGAAATAACGTAAATAAATTAGCAAACGCCATAGAGGTAATACCGTAATTAAGGTAATGGAAGAAAAAAATGTTGATACACTCAGTGACATAATTTTTGTATTAATTATTTTTTTTAAATTTAAATTTTAATTTTTAAAAAAAACATTTAAAATCGGATATATAAATAGGATTAAAATATTTTAGGAGATAAACATTTATTTGTTTTATACATGAACATTAAAACTTGATTGATTTGATTATATATTTAATGCTCCAAGTATACGCAGAAGAGACCCTCAAGATACAGTTTAATCAGCTCCAACAATTGTTCTTTACGCGTGTTTTTGTTTACAGTACAATTTTTTTAACTTTGTATGGTTTGTACTTGCCCATGCAATATTGCAATAAATTAAATAGCAATGAATAAAAGAGAAATATAAACTTTTTAAAAAATTATTGTTTAAAAATGGTTTTAGTCCTATATATGATTGCTAAATTTTTTCATATTTTATTTTTAATACATTTTATATGTAAACTCCAACGTAAATGTTTATCTAAGATTACGTTTAGAAAGCTTACTGAGTTTTCTCTTTAAATGCTATATATTATTGATTATTAGATTAAGCAATTTAATGGGAATATTTTTTGATTTATTCACTTTGTAACAAAATAAATTTGGTTTTATCCACATTTAGAGAACGTTTATTATTTATAAACCACTCATTAACTTACGATAATTGTTCGTTTGTTGTTTCAAATAGTGTATTAATCTCTCTGTGGGAACAAGGACGTATTAATAGATGGACGTTTAACCCATTGTTATAGATCTGAGGCGCCGCAAGTAAACAAAAACCTATGCGAGCTATAATTTTTAGCGTCATTTTTCTGAATAATTTATAAAAGTAAACCGACGTTTTTCAGATAATTTCGCTTTTCTAACTACTTTTTTTAAAAAGTACAATTACCTACAAAACTCTAACATTTTTTAAAAATTAATGCATAATAGTTATACAGAAATAGCTCATCTGTTTTAAAATGTCAAATTTGATACGTGAGCGCTTTTTAATAAGAACTTATTATTAATAAAACTTAAACGTCAAAAATCATATTTTTGTAAAAAAGTGATAGTTTGCAAGAATGAATACTTCAAAGTGAAACGAATTTTCTAGATGTTGTAGGTAAAAATGTAGATCATATATAGATCGAACTATAGATTACTTGTGGTCTCTATTCCCTACACTTAGTTTTCACTATTATTTTAAGTATTTAAAATTCTCATTTTATTCGGAAATTTTGTCTCACTAAAAATTTGTTTTAATATTTTTCTGTGATTAACTTTTTTTTTCCATATAAAGATTTCGCTTGAGTTTATAGATCATATAATGAAAAGGTTTTATTTATTTAAAAACTTTTTAGATTTTTTAGGTGTAATGGAATGTTTAAATATTTCTAAGGCTAGACGAGACTATCGTTATTTTGACGTAAAATCAAGTAAAAATATTCTCAAGTTAAAAATAGTTCTCTATTGTTTTGCTATTGTTATTTGTAACATTGAATAGCGCGGATATCTTTTAAACAATACGTTAAACGTCCATCTATTAATACGTCCTTGGTGGGAATAAAAAAGGATTAGAGTCATTTGCAAAAAAAATATAATTTTATACGTCTGTTGCAAAATTTAAACCATTAATGTGCACTAGGAACAACAGTTGTCCTAAAATAGAGCCCTGGGGTCGCAAGTTACGGCAGACGGAAACGTTCGTTTTTGTTCATACACTATAAATTGTTTTCTATCGTTCAAATAACTTTTGAACCAAAGTAAATTGTTATTTTTTACTCCATAGTGTTCAGGTTTTTATTAGTATATTATGATTAACGGTATCGAAAGCTTTTGACAGATCAATGAAAACTCCTTAGGTAAAATTGTTACTACTGAATGCACTTGCTATTAAATTGACTAGTTCAACAATTGCTCCGTTGAATTTTTTTTTTGAAACCAAATTGTTTTGAATACAACATGTCATTTTCTGATAAGTGATTAAAAAGCCTATTGTACATTATTCTCTCAAGTAATTTTGAAAACAAGGTAAAGTAGATATAGGCCTATAATTAGAGATATTTGAGCCATCTCCGGACTTAAATATCGGCGTGACTTAAGCAATTTTTAACTTTTCAGAGACATTACCTTTTTAAATGAAAGATTAAATAAGTGAAATAACGAGCATTCTATTATATTATATACTGATTTTACAACATTAACGTTAATTTTATCAAATCCAGCACTTTTGTTAGTTTTAAGGTTAAAAAAGGCGGTTTGCAATTCAATTAGTTTTAAATTAGGTTCATCCATAACTTTATCGTAATTTTTTTAATAAGATTCAAATGATGTCGAATTCATAGGAATTTGTAATGTCATATTAGGAGCATCATTAGTAAAGAAGCTGTTTAGTTTTTCAGCAATAATCAATTTATCATAAATCGTGTTTTTATCAATTGTTACTTTTTTTGGCAGAATGTTTCTCGCATAACTACTTTTTCCGATTATTTCTTTAACTACACTCCATGTTTTTTAGTGTTTCCGGTGGCTTTACTTGCATAATAGAGCTTTTTTGAGTTCCTTTTTGTTTTTTCAAATATGTTTTTTATGTCATTTTGTTTTTATAAGTTGTTTTTTTTCAAGTACTTATTGTATAACTTTTGCTTCCTTTTTGAAGATTTTAGTTACCCGTTAGACATCCACGGAGTTAAAACAGTTTTGGTTT